GTTCGGGTCTTCTGAAATGCCAAAATGTGCTCATGAGTATGCTTTCAAACTTTGATCCGCGATCAGAGTGTAACTGGTATGGTGATCCCCATCGTGCTACCCAATCACCGAAGAACGCTTTAGCCACACTTCATGCGTCTGTTATGTGCACATACTTGGTGAAATAGTCTACAATTACGAGGATATAACGATATTTTCTTGCGGTTTCTGGTAGAGACCCTGCAATGCCGATGCCAACTATTTCCTTAGGGAACCCATCCGTCATTGGTTACAGCGGCCCACGACGAGTTGGCGTAGCGGTTTTGCTTCGTGCTCAATCGGCGCAAGATTGGCCGTAATTTGCGATGTCGCGCCGTAACTGTGGCCATCAGAAGCGGCGGCGGATAGCCTCTTTTTTTTGTCCCGCATGTCTTAATTCTTCGTGTATCCTTCACATCATTTACTGGGTTACGGATGTTGAGACAACAATTCTCCGTATATAGATGGGATCATTTTGGAAATACATGATTTCATCAGTCACGCGTAAATGGAGCCAAAGTGACCACATGCACTTCGTCTCCCAGCTCGTGCCGGCCAGTTTTTGATGCTTTGGGTTGTGCGATATGGTCGTACGGTAAGCTCAACTCTGGGCCAGTTGACTGTAAGCTAGTCCAGTCATCGGTTTCAGACCTATCGAAGATAATTGCGGACACGCACGCGCTCGTGCGAGATAAATATGATCCATGGTACCTAGTAGGCCTCCGAGATAACGCGTCGGCGTTTGCATGCTTAATGTCCCGGCGGTGTTGTTATTCGAAGTCGTACTCCTGTAACTGTTCCTGCCACCTGGCAATTTGTCCCTCAGGATCACGAAAGTTCTGAAGTCAGATCAAGTACTGGTGATCGGTGTGCAGGATGAACCTGCGGCCTATCCGCAGGACATAATACGTTTGCAATTATGGTATAAAACAGGTAGCTAGCCCGACTTGAACACATCTCAAGTGGTATGAGAGGGTAAGTGGAACCTATTCTGCGAAGAAGTGCTCAAGGACAGCCTAGACGCTTAGTATTCTATCCGACCAGACGCATTATTGACACCATTTGCCAGTGGACAAATTTAGTCAGTAACTCATTTGTAAAAGAGTATAAGTATATGTACAGAAATGGGTTAGAGCGATCATCTATATTAGTGAAGGATATGCTCAGAATGCCCGCCGGCGTTCTGCTTACGGTGCGGAAACCGCCTGATGCAGTTGACGAGCACCTATTTCAAGGTATCTCTGGTGATCGCACGTCATTCTTTCACAATATTCTCTTTACGTTGCTCCAATGAATGCGGTCTTGTTTTGTGCACTTTTCGCTTCAGATAGCCCCATAGGAAAAAATCCAGGGGTTCAAAACGGATGAGTGGGCAGGCCACTCAATTGGTCCGCCATGTCCGATCGAACGGTGACCAAATTTTGCGCTGAAGTAAGCACGTGCCGTTTTAGCCGAATGTGTAGGTGCACTATACTTTTGCCACCAAATAGTACTACATACCCCTTCGGCCTCCAGCTGTGGAAGCACAAATCTCTAGAGCATTTTCAAGTACGGTGATGCTAAGAAAACTAAGACTTTAGTACTGCAAAACAACAACCTACCGATCAAATTCCCGGAAAAGAAATATAGTCCCAAGATTTTCTGGCTTGTTAAACCAAACCAAACTGTTAGTTTGACACTGCGATGCATACGTGATGAGGTATATCTTTTTGGATTACTGGTAGCCCACTAATACTGTTTCGCCGTTCCATGCAGATGAAACAGCGTCTCATCTGTAAAGATGACAGAGTGAATGTCCCCGTGATCCATAAAATAGCGGCAAAACTTATGCCGTTTTTCACTGATCGTAGGGTTACAAAACCTGCACTTGAAGTGCACCGAATCTGCGAAATTTTCGTTCCTTTAATATCAGGTGTAAAGCGTATCCAGTCATGTCACAATGCTGTACAATCCGACGAATTCTGAGATCGGGACTTTCCGATACTTCACTGCTTACAGCGCAAGTTGAAACGTCGTCCGTGTCGATGCGAGACATTCCGATTTTCATTTTGCTCACTCCTAGTTTGCTCGAGCTTCTTCTAAACTTTATTTACCTACTGGGTGATGCGTCGCATTGCTGCACTCATAGCCTTGTATCGTTGCGCAGTTGCTTCAGCGTTTACACCACCTCCACCATGCAGCCGAATAGTAGGCACGCGCTGATCAATAGGAACGTTAGGTTTTCTCGATTGCAGATACATCGCCGATGGTAGTGTCTGTTTGTGCTCCACTAAATGAGGCAGTGATTCAACGACAAAGTGCCAAGACTCGCGCTGTCCAATATCGCCCTCACCTAATCCAAACTACCGGGTTCTCTGAAATCTTATCACCTATGCACTTGCTTTTCACGTTGCCTAAGCGGGCTTGGCTGGGTAGCGTAATGATTCACTACCCTTGCATCTCGCACGGCTGTTTCGCTTCACCCATCAAGCTACTCGAATAGCCATCGATCGTTCCCCTGCGTACATTTAATCAAGACATTCCGCGTTCAGAGAGAGGTTCGCTGACAGCTAACAATCACTGAACAGCATAATGTGGCTATCTGTTCTCATTTCGCTGCATGACTAAAATGGCTAATGTGGCCTGTTGGTCTGTCCCTCGATTAACTTTAGCGCTTGCCCTCAGCTGATCCCTGAACTAAACCACTAGTCTGCCGAGCGTGCCATATCATCACCTCTAAGGTTAGAGAGGAACTCATGGGTCTGCACGCGCTCGCGATACGCAGTAGGTCAGTTTGCTCCTTTCTGCCAAGCATTGGATAGTGGGGACAACCATCGTAAATGACCGGCGTTCAACACAAGCGCGCCACGGTGCGTCCATGAACCGCAGTACCCATTCTGGATTGCGTTGATCAGCCCTAATTCGTCGAACTTACGTTATGTGCCGATCTGCGGGTGCGTTTTGGTGGACGCTATCGACGGCCCCGTGAACGCATAGACATCAGCTAACTAACGAAGCCAGACGTTCTGAATGCGTATTGAAGGACTCTGGCATTTGGGTTGAGGAAACGCCCACTGAATTACAGCTGAAGGTCACTTGGGCATGTTCACCAGACCTTACTAAGAGCACGTAGATCCTCATGTAATAAATCCATTAGCCAACATGGACATGGGATCTCGCCGGCATATTCCAGCCAGAAGCGAACACAATGAGACTCGCGAAGATCTCAAGGCGAAACCCCGTGCTAGCCTGAAGAGAGACCGCGAATCCTGGTGTTCTCATCGTGCATCAAAGATGGAAGTGGTCAGTGCTCATGGTAACAACTGGAAGTTATTTCATCTGGTATGGGAAACGGGTCGCAGGAGACCTGATGTTAGTGAAACTATTTGTGACGAGAGTGGATAGCCGATCCACAAGTTATAAAAATGCATGGTACGTTGGGCTGAGCATTTTGAAAGGCAATTTATTCGGCCATAACTGTTAGGTTCCCCACCGGCCTTTGATCGCTCTGCTGTCTGGACTGTCCCTTTTTATCTACCCTCTCGCTCAGAAGTTAAACTTGAGATCGGACTGCTACAGTTGAATAAAGCTGCGGTATCAGATGATCTTCATCCAACCCCTTTCAAATTCGGGGGCTTTGCTCTTGTTGCTGATTTGCACGAACTACTAATGAAACTGTGGGAGCAAAAAGCTATCCCAGCCGACGGGAGCCACTCCATTATTGTCTCGCATCTTCGCTTCTGACGAGTCCCAATAGGACGAATCGGCCATCTAGCTCTTTACTACATTTGTGATGACTTTCTGTTTACGTCTAGCTACGACGAATATTTCCTAAATTTGCTATGCTTTGTTGGGCTTTCGGTAGTCCCTTTCCAGTAGTTAGTAGCCATTCTCAACACTTGGTTGTTCCTTGCAAGCTTGGACCGTCCAAGCATATATAGTATGATATTGGGCATTAATCGTGTTTCTCTTAGCATTACTTGAATCTCGTTACTTTTTCCTCGTGGAGAGTCTCAACAAAAGGTTACTGTGTATGTTGAACCTATGATCGCTAATGTGCCTTGATAGTCATTGGAAATGTTTGCAGCTCTAAATACTGTCGTTTATGTCCCATCATATTTGAGCTCAGAGGGCAACCAAGCGTATGTATTAATGCACATCCTTCAAGAAACTCACCATTTCAAATTGCGACCGCCCTGTTTTCACACATTGCTTTATTTGTGTGTCAATTATTGCGACAAGCCAAGCATCACAAATTGTGCCGCTTTAAGTTGTTTGCGGTGTCATCGAGTAATGATCTCTGTCTTCATTAAGAACACATTAATTACAATCGCATGATCGAATTTGTACCCCGTTCTTTTAGTAGGATGGTAACTATTCCGTTTCTTCGTTAGATGCGACCACTTCGGATGAAGTTTCCTAGGATTATTGTTTTAACGCCATCGCATGGAACGATATGCTTGGTAGAATTTCACATGCACTCCTGAATTGAGCGTCTCAGTCGGTACGGGGTATTGAAATACATTTGTTTCAGTGGATCCGCTACTCTTGTGTTCCCTTACACCTGATCCGAGCATCATTTGATGGATGAAAGTCTGCAGCCTTGTGTCGATCTTCATTGGTTGTAGGGACATTTGGAACATTCGGGGGGTGTCCGATCCGTAAGTTTCTGCAACACTCGGTTGAGTGAGCCTTTTGTTGACTATGATGCAACAGACTACTTTTCGTCTATGATACCTTACTGGTTTCGATTAATCTTGGGCAGCAATTCTGACAGACATTTGTCTTTCTCTGTCACTTATGCACAAGCTGCATTCACTGAGGATCATTGGGCACCCTTCACTCCGGGAACATTTTTACCACTTTCTGCCAAGTTACTCTTGTAACATAGACCGGTCATATGGCTTGGGTCACCACCTGGTCCTGCTTATCTTTTTTATTCCTTACTTTTCCATTCTATCCTATCAAGCCGTCCATTTTCACGGATCCATTATCCCGCTTCAGCATTTCCAATGGTTTGGACCAGCCTACAAGTCAAGTACACCCTTTTGCAGAGACTCTGCCTATACTTTATCAAACTTGGCCCAATCCCGCAGCACATTGGATTTATCATGGATGGAAACAGACGGTTTGCCGCTAGCAATTGTCTGCAAACTGCAGAAGGGCACTCACGAGGCTTTTCCAAACTGTCTGAGGTAGGTTTGCTCATTTTTACCTACTCGCGATCTGTGTGTCAGACCATTCAATGGTGTAAAGATCTCGGAGTGAAAGAAATCACGGTATACGCGTTTAGCGTGGAAAATTTTAACCGAGATCCAGAAGAAGTATCTTTTTTATTTACATTAGCTACGGAAAAGTTAAACGAATTGTTGAGCAAACTGTAAGCCATTTTCTTCTACTCTGAACTGCATTCGCATCATCTTAGAGAAGATTTATGTTCCAGTGGGTTACGCATACGTCTAATTGGTAACCTATCAATGCTACCTTTGCGTATCCAACGATTGGGATGTGAATTAATGCTGAAAACAAGACACAATACTGCGTGAGTTTAGGGTAATGTCTAATATTTTTCCCGTGCAACCTGAATGCGCCCGACCAACGCACTCCCACCCTAAGCGACTCACTTTGCTCGTTTATTTCTCGTTCACACGCCAACCCAACTGATCTTATTCTGTGAGCTGGTACATCCCATCAAAGTTATCTGCTTACAATACTCTTCTTTGACCAGTATAGAAGCATTGTTACCGCCCGTAGCGTAAAAGTAACGAGCTTGCCTTGTAATCTGGCGGCGCGGGTTTGAGCCTGCGTAGCGGCAGGACGACCTTCGCAATATCCTTAGTCCATGTGCTACCGGTGGTGGTTGCGCGGCAGCGAAGCGTCGGTACTGTGTACCGGCGTACTGCAGATGTCTGCCTATGGAAGCATTGTTAATCTGCGAATCCACTAACCGTAGCTTATGTCACTGTACGGAATTCCGTACAATTGCATCCTGTCGAACTGCCTTTTACGGTTCCAGACGTTAAACATACTTTACTCTGCCGTCCCACTGTTTTGTCCCAGCCGAGGAAGTGCATGCATTGCGTCGCGAGGAACGGAATGTGTGCTTCAATTTTCCCTTACTGGGGCTATCCTCACCCGTGATCTGCACCAATTTGGCTGTTTGTCATTGCCACTCACTTTTGCTATAGTCTGCTCAGTTTGATGACATTTTTCTCCATTGAGGCTCCACACATTGCCACTCTACAATACGAAACTGATGAATTGTGTGAGATGAAGTTTCAGTCGGCATTCGTTCAACTTTTCGTGACAATTTGTGCACAGTACCTTAGGCCAACGTTTCCCGGTCAATTATACCGATTCATCTCTTCTCACTCTCTTGCCCACAGAGTCACTCTGAACGTGTGTATGGCTTACGGCAGTCGAGACGAGTTAACCGAATCCGTGGAACATCTACGGGTAGCCGTTCGAGACGGACTTATTCACCCGAGGTTAGCCACCATCTTGTTCATCCTGTTGACTTTCTCTTTGCCGCTTTTAGTACTACAGTTATTGTGGCCATCCTCCTCCATTTCAATTATTTGACATGATTCTCTGTATTTCATTTGCTACTGTTGTCTTTTGCTGCACCTTGCCCTTGTTTTGCCAAATCAATCACGGGGTCCTTTTCCGATCGGCCATTGACTCCTGTTCTTTCTCCCCATGTGGTTACTGAAACAGCTCCGTACACAAAAGCCACTGTTTACTAATTTGAGGCTCTTGTTTTTCGCGGTTTTTTTCCTGTCATTTTCCGGTCTTAAGAGCATTTGGTTTTTTGTTCATAATTCATCGCATTTGATTCACAGGTAGCTAATCTTTCACACATCCGGTTCGTCTTAATGAGACTCGTAAGTAGTGCGCATCCTCCGGCCCCACCAGCAACTGAGTTAAATTATGAACCTCATCGACTCCGAAGGGTCTTTAGTTACGGATGTGAACGTGTAACTTATATCAAGGAGTTTGGCTTACCAAATATGTAATTTTCACTGAGCTCACTTTGCCGAACAAACGCTTGTCCCTAAAGGACTAAGCTCTGTAACATGGTGCCAGAGAAGACCAGAACGAACCCCACCGGCCGCACTCAAATGCCGATTGAATCACCACCGGCTGTTCAAATGCCTGCTCCTTTGAATATGGACGAACGAAACTTGGCAAGTAACTGCCATCTATGGAGGAGCAAGTGGATGGATTTCTGCACCCTATTACGTTTGGACGAGCAACCGATGGCATGTCGCCTGGCCATATTTCCACACGCATCCGGGAATGACACTCGCCGGGTGATAGATACATTGCACTACGACATAGTTCCCAATGATTTGGAGACGGTCATTGAAGTGCAGTGAATTTTGCGAAGGCCAAACCAGCGAGATCTATCGGCGCTATCTTTTTTGCGCGAAGCAGAGGCCCAAATGAATCCGTCGACAGGTACGTCACTGTGCTGAAGAGATTAGCCCAGTCCTGCAATTTCTGAAAATGCATAGGCGACAGTCTCATACGCGATCGGCTCGTTTTAGGAATCAATGGTGAAAGTACGACAAAGCGACTTTTGCGACAACGCAACTTATCGCTCCAGCAATGCAACAGGAAGTCATCGACCATCTATCAATATCAACAAATGAAATTCATAACTGACGCAGGATTTTGTGTCGTTTCCGGGGGAGGGGGAAACCACGAAACCCACCAACTTGAACAGAAAATCTGCAGATTTTACGCCTAACGACCATGAGCATCTGCGTTAGAACGGAGGTGTGCCAAACTGGGAAAGCGGAACCACTTTGCTCGGTGTTGTCAATCAACCACTGTGAGTGCGGCCGTTCGTGACATGTCACCTGCAAATTCGGAACCTTTAATTGACAACGTTTCTCGGAAGTGATCACAAAATATGTCTGCACAAGTTTTTCGATCGAAGACAGAGTCGTATGGTTCCAATTAGGCACAGATGTTACTTCCTACATTATTCTCAGAAAACATTATCATCACATCCGATCTCATCAAGATTGCTTGCGCATGTGGAATGGTTCCAAAATTCATCCGAAGGACTCACTTGCGATCGAACTAGTTAGCCCAAGGGACGGAGACTCACGTCGGCGGAACTTTATAGCCGATTCTCAACTTCGATTCAGTTCAGTATCTTGGCTTTATTGCTTTTAACCACGATCGTGCATGCTTGTCAGGGGGAACCGATATTAATGACCAGTATCCGTCTGTGTTTAGCCCGGGTTTAAGGAGATTTGAGGGAACCGCTCACTTGTCGTTAGATCTCTTGTTACAGCCGACTGCGCTACCGGCTAGGAGAGTTTCGTTTGCGCTACGTGTCGGGTTCTCCGCTGACTTGTTCAAATCGGTGATGGATGGTGTGGTTGTGAAAGTTGACGAGCCAACCGATTGGGTTAGTCAAGTAGCAATCATTACGAAGGAGACCGCCGAATTGCGGGTGTGTATTGACTCGAAACCGTTGAATGGGTCCCTGCGTATAGAGCATCATGCGCTACCTACCCTAGCAGACATTTTGCTGGTATGAAAATCAGCGACGAAAAATGGCGTGATCTTATCAAGAGGGTGGTTACGTAGGAGGGGTTAGTACCTGTGAAGGAAACACACCGAGTACAGAAGCGACAGGCGCCGATTCTTTTTTTTTGGCCACCCAGACATCATTAATGAAATCGCTCCAGATATCTAACGTCTTTCCGTACATAATCCATCTTTCGCCGCCGTATGGGGGAACGTACAGTACCAGCAGCTTGCAGCTCGCTCGTCATCAGCGCGTTGGTGTATATTAAGCACCCAATGTAGCAAACTTTCGGTGCTGTTTCCAGCATGTCATCGACAACCTGGATTTGGGGCTTGCCCTCTTACTATATATATATATATATATATATATATATATATATATATATATATATATATATATATATATATATATATATATGGTTGGCGGCATCCGGTTTCCGATTTGCCTGGCGATGTGGCCAGCCACAGGACGCCTGCGCCTACAGAGGGACCATGGATGGCTTGCGCTGCACCACCCACAGCTCCAACCACACACCCCATATGCGGTGTAAACCCGAAGGAATAAGACCGGGAGGCATGCGGATGGGAACCACGTTTCATCAACGGAGCCGGCCCACACTCCTTCACAGGCAAACACAAGCACGCTGTATTTGGGAATCAAGCGCACACAAGGCGGTGGCTGGACCGTAGTCCGCTCCACACAGTGTATGAAACCACTCTTTGGTCCTAACACGGCCACAAGAACCGTGCACCCCGTCCCCTCCAGCAACGACCAACTGTCTGCTGGAGCCAGTATGGACGAGGTAGTGGGTAATAGACAGGTAGGCACCTTGTCAACATGCACATCAAGCGCAGCCACACAGGAGATATCAAACAACAGCCAAACACTTGAGAGAGAGAGAGAGAGAGAGAGAGGGAAAGCAAATAACTCGATTGATGCATACGGAAACGGTGACATAAACCTTAAGTTAATGAGCATATGAAATAAGTTGTTTACAAACGAACCAGAGATAAGTTCACGTGGTGAGAAAGTATACTATACGGAAATGCCACGAACACAAAAATGTTATGAAAATCGAATACAATTGGCTGGAGCGAGGTGTGCAAGTTAATGGAATAGAGTACAGGTAGACATTTATATGAAAAAGAAAAGCATTAAGGCAACATTGAAAACTCACCACCTGAAATAAAGAGACTTAGCATGCAAGCACGCCGTTAGTAAAAGAATGCAGCGTAACTACAGACGCTGCGCTGGTTCTGATTATTTCTCTGCATGACCCGTCGTCGCTTCTGTAGTGGTCCCGAGTGGCTTCGCTTATGACTCACTAGACACTAGACATTTATTGGAGAAAGAAAGGCATTCGGACAAAACTGAAAACACACCACCTGAGATAAAGAGACTTAGCGTGCAAGCAAGCGGTTAGTAAATCGAATGCAGCGTACCTACAAACGCTGCGCCGGTTCTGCCTATGTTCTCTGCAGAACCCGTCGTCGCTTCGGTAGTAGTCCGGAGTGGCCTCGCTCATGGCTCACTAAGCCTGTCTAACTAAGGCACTCGCGACCGCATGTTCTACAGCACCATGCGCTTGATGTCGATGGAGTACAATTCATTGCTGCTTGCCGCTTCTTCTCTGCATGCATGAGGGCTTTCTCCCGCACTTTAGCAACTGCCTTCGTGATTAGGTCGCACCATGCACGCCGATCAACCGCCTTCCATTCCCATGACCTGCAAGCAAGAATAGAACGTCATAGGCTCACTTTGATCATGTCCTGGTAACGTAACTGGTTTCCCCACGTGCCGCTTCCCAATACTCAGCTGACCGTATAATGGTTGTTTCGGTATCCGCGTCGAATCCATACGGCTCACATGACCGAGCCACCTCAGGTGTCTCAATAAAAGTATGCAGTCCACTGCATACATCCCACTTTGGCGCAAAACGTCCGTGTCTGCAACTCTGGCGCCCCAACCGATCCGCAAAATTCGTCGCAGACACTGCTGATGGAACCGCTCGAGATATCGCACATCCCGACAATACATCGTCCACGTTTCACTGCCGTATAGAAGAACGGACAGTACCATGGATTTGTACACCATCAGCTTCGTGCCAGTGGTAAGCTGATGGTTGTTCCACACTCGGTACTCAAGCTTCCCGAATGCTGCCGCTGCCTTCGACACGCGAATACGCAGCTCACTTTGTAGCTGCTGATCAGTCGACATCACACTCCCACGGTAGCTGAAACGGGAGGTGGTTTCCAATACTTCAGCACCAATGCTGATTCGCGGCAATATTGAAGACTACACCTCCGGTGAAGGCTGAAAGAGACAGACAGTTTTGCTAGTGTTGATGGTGAGCCCGAATTTGGCCGCTGTCGAAGCCAGAGCACTAGTCATGTGCTGCTACTCATCCGCGCTGTGTGAAAACAACACACAGTCGTCAGCAAACAGCAACATACGGATAGTTGTCTCACAGACTAGCGTTCTCGCACCGAAACGACGGATGTTCAGCAACTCACCATCAATACGGTGCTCCACACGAACACCGTAAGCACAAGCGGCATCAAAAGCACAATACATCATTGCATGAAGATATATATTAAACAGGGCAGGAGCTAAGACACAGCCTTGCTTCACACCAGAGACAACTGCAAAGTCATCCGAGGTCTCTCCACTCAGCTGCACCCTCGCTCGCATACCACTGTGCAGACATTCGATTAAACTTACAAACTTACGCGAGCAACCAAACTTACCCAACACCAGCCACAATGCCTCGCAATTCACCGTACCAAATGCATTTGGTGGAATCAACAAAAGGCGAGTACAACGGCTGGTGTCGCTCTCTACACCTCACCTGCAACTGACGAGTCGCAAACACCATATAAATACAGTGCTGCGACCCGAACGAAATCCACACTGCCCTTCCGCCACTTTCAGTTCCACAACGTGACTGATGAGGCGGTTGAGCAGGATTCGGGCAATTAGCTTGCCCACACAACTCAGCAAGTTGATGTCACGATAATTCGTGCAACATTGCTTGCTACCTTTGCCCTTGTGCAGTGGTAGCACAAGGGCATCCTTCAGCTCAGGAGGCACCTCCTCCTCAATCCGTACGCGTTGCACCAAGTGGTGCAGTGCAGTCACCAACGCGTGTCCGCCGTGTTTCAATACTTCAGGCGGGATCCCGTTGGTTCCGGCACACAGCAGCTGAGTAAGTGCTCTCTGCGTCTCATCCAGTATCGGCGTATCCGCCTTCACATCGTGCTGCTTCAGGTCATTCAATGTAGGCCAGTCGATCTCTGAACGGTTGTTCAAGAGACAGTCAAAGTGTTTCCGCCAGATCTGCATCATGTCTGCAGTCTGGGTGCAGGTAGCGCCTGAACTACCATCGATCAGTGTCCTCAGCGGCTCCAATCTCGGTCCATACACCGCCTTCAAGGAGTCAAAGAATTCCTTGTGTTGACAGCGTTCGGCGTAGCATTCCATCTGCTTCGCCTTCTCCGTCCACCATGCATTTTTAATGCGACGGAGCTCTCGGGTCAGTCGCCGTCGAAGTTTGCGAAACTGACTACTCTTTCCCAAGTCACTGGGGTCTGCAGCATGTGCAGCAAATGCTGCATTCTTCTCCGACACCAATGCGCCGATCGTCGCATTGTTCTCATCAAACCAATCAGGCCGTTTACAGTTTGCGCGCCCGATGGTCTCCTCGGCAGCAGCTGTCACCTGATCGCGAATGTGGTGCCACAGGTCGCCCACTGTGGCTATGCATTCCACATCACACAGGCGTGCAGCCATCGCCTTCTCCAGCTCAGTACGTTTCGCCACAGTACCGAGGGAGAGAATGTTAAATTTACACCGATTCACGGCGGGAGTGCAATACATCGATTTACGAAAATATATGTACAGTTTGGTCCGCACCAACTTGTGATCAGTGTCACACTCAGCTCCACGCAGTACACGTGTCATGCGCACTTCATGCATATCACGCTGACGTACGATGACATAGTCGAGCAGGTGAACGTGACCACTCCGTGGGTGCGTCCAAGTTGCCATATCACTCGCACTCAGTGCAAACCGAGTGTTCGTGATCGTCAGGCCGTGAGTGGCACACAGTGAGAGCAGCCTGTCACCGTTCGCATTCGCTGAACCAATGCCATGCGCACCGATAACATCTGTCCACGCTGATACATCACGCCCAACGCGCGCGTTGAAATCACTCAGCAGAAATAGTCGGTCGCTCCTCGGCACAGACCGTATCACGGAAGATAGCTCAGTGTAGAACTGATCACGCGTGTCATCAGGATAACACATGGTCGGACCGTACGTGCTTATAAAAGTAGCAAACCTACCTCTTCCGAGTCGTGGGCGAACAGTCATCAGTCGCGCGCTGATGCCCGTTGGTTCACCCACCAGCTGGCCATGGAGGCGATCGGATATTGCAAATCCGACCCCATGTTCACGTGGTGCTGAAGCGGCGTTGCCCACCCAGTAGAATGTGTAGCCAGCACCTACTTCATGCAACTTACCTTGCTCAGCGAGCCGAGTTTCACTGAGCGCCGCAATATCGATGTTGTAGCGCGCCAGCTCCATCGCGACCAGTGCAGTGCGTCGCTCCGGGTGCTCGCTGGAGTTCCGGTCCAGTAGTGTGCGCACGTTCCAGCACCCGATGCTGAGTGCTTTGCGCGCGGGCATACGATTGCATTGGTGGGCAATCGCACGCGAGGTGGTCGTTGTGCTTCGGAGGTTTGCTTGAGGGACTCCACCCGGAGCCTTTGGCTCAATAGCCTGACCCACAAGGCAGTGGGTGGTTTGGAGGTTTGCTTGATGAACTCCGCCCGGAGCCTTTGGCTCAATAGCCTGACCCACAAGGCAGTGGGGAGCAGATCCAGCTCGGGAATGTGATTGCAGAGACAGATGGGAATCTGCTTGATGGCCGTCACACGCAGCCTTTGAGGTACTGGAACAATTATTATATGTTTTGCGACCGTAATAGGATACGCACCTGCGACCACAGCCAGACGCAAGTGGGTTTTGGCGGGTTTGCACCAATTTGACCAGGGGCTGCCTGGCTTGAGGTGGGCAGTAGCAAACCATTGAACACTCGGAGGTATCCTCCCACCGTCAGAGACAATGCGTGGCACTCTTGCTCTACGGCAATGGAGCTGGGAGCTTATAACCCGTAAACCTGTTGTCTCCCATGGCTAGGTTTTACGGGAAGAGGGCCATCGACCACTTCCTAACATCCGAAGAGGATGGATTAGGATACTGCCAGGGCGCCCACACCTGACAGGAGAACGACTCGGGTCCTCAGCCAAAGCCTTCGATTAAATATACACCCGAAAGGCAGCGGGTCAAGCACATGGTCAGTTAGCTGACTCGTGCGGATTGGTGTCCTGGATCTTAGCTTGGAGAAGGGGGTAACCCAGCGGTCGCCACGTGGAGACGCCCAGGACATGAGACTACAACAGTAGCAGCAGTGGGTAGACCATCTGTCAGGATCTAGCCACCACCAGCCTCAGCGCATTATAGGCTCTCCGGCCATATATATATATATATATATATATATATATATATATATATATATATATATATGTCCCACCATATACATCCGGTACGCATGATTCCCAAATTAGGTAGACAGGAACGCTGCTGCTGTGCATGTTGAATGAGTATGGGTCGGCTTCGTTGATGGAACATGGCTTCCACCCACATGCCTCCCCGTCTTGTTCTCTTGGTTTACACTGGATATGGAGTGTGTTTGTAGTGCAGCACAATTCACCCATGGTCCTACTGTAGGCGCAGGCGTCCGGTGGCTGTCCTATAGTAGCCAGAGTGACAGCAAAATCCGGAACCGGATGCCACTAACCATTTATGCCACCAGTCTCTTTCATTTTATTCCTGATCAACCATCACTGTGCTTGAACGCGGAAATGTGTTTTACTTTGTGTTATCGGTTAGTGACTACCCTTCTTGATCTTTCATCTGCGGAGTGCCTTTGCGTCGCATTTTTATAGCAAAATGGTTCAGTGGGTGTGATGCTGTAGTGACGAAATGCAAGTTATTCTTTGTATCCATGCTCCAAGGCAGCCTTTCCATTTCGATCTGCTGATGTTTGCTCCTCCCCACCATCCTTATGTGGGTCTTTTCTCCCTTATGCGTTTCTTGGCGGTATGTTTCACCAATTTTCCATATTTACATACGCATCGGAAGAGCGCAGTCCGTTAGCACGGGTGAGCAGCTGTGATACATTCGGATGCGCATATACGCGTCGGAATATAAAACGTGTACTCAACCACTCTCCTTGCTACACGAGCGGATGCATTGATGTGAATCTCGTCTAAGACTTGTCAACAGCGCGGCATACTTTGGCAATTCGTTGTATTATATACATATATATATATATATATATATATATATATATATATATAATGTTATCAGCAGTCTATAAAATAGACATCGGGCCACTGACAACCACGAAACAGAAGTAATGTATACAGAGACCACAAAGAAAAGAATGAAAGTTGCAAACAGTTTTCTGTTTTGTTTTTGAATCTTGTCTTTTCTTTTTTGTTTTTTTACACGCTGTTTTACTTTTTGTCTGTTTAATGTTTGCGATATAAATCATTGGGTCTGGTTCTGCACTATCTCCGAAAGAATTTACGGCCAACAGTGTTCTTCATCTCTGATCCCCCAGCTCGGAAGACGCACGGGACCTACGACAGCTAAACTGGAAGTATTCACTGTTTTCGGTGTTTATCGATGCTTACCTTTCTCGTGACAGACAGCGTACTGATGGCTTCCCGAGTTACCGCTCTAATTCAGATGTCTCACTGGCTTTTTTCTTCTCTTCTTTGTTCTAGTGATATCGATCCAGATCTTTTGTCTGCATGCCTTTACACACGTTCCTCGCTGCCCTTGGATCTGTTGATCCGCACTTCAGGAGAAGTACGTCTCAGCGATTTCCTCGTCTGGCAGAGTGCCTATTTTGGCTCTGTGCACAAGTTTGTAGAGAATTATTGGCCCGTGTTTTCTTTCTGGAACTTTCTCGCTGCCGTGTTCCACTATCAAGTTTCAGTTACATATTTATCGGTGAGTTTTTTGTGTGGTAAATACGACAAACGTTGGACCCCTCTCAGTTAGCTACTTCTTCGGTTCTTGCTCTTTCACTTAACGCTATTTCAACAACCTTTCCTTGGAGTTTGAGACCATGGTTGGTATTAGGTGACCAAACAGAGTGAACACCCTGCACGCGGTTTCGACACTAGCGCCTGCGGATGGTGTGAATGGGCTTCACGCGGGACATGCGACGTGCAGATAAACTATATACCGTAGCTGCGGTGTGAGTGGTTGGCAAACTCGCGTGGGCGTTGACTGGGTGAATGAGGGCCGTGTCTTGACACGAACAGACGTTCAACTATGGCAAAACAGTCGCACGGAATACCTTCATCTTGGTTGAGGCCAGGGCGCAGCAGATGCGGGGATCCTTGTTTTCATCATTTGAATATATGCTTTACCTATGCATAGAACCGTCCTTTCCATAACATAAACACCGTCTACCTGAGGCTTGGCTTTTATTTTTCGCGTTTGAATTGGACGCCAGGCAGTACAGACCGTGAGCAGCAGTACTGCAAGCAACTCATCACAACAGTCAGACGACCCCATCGCCAATCCATTTAGCGCTGCAAGCTTTTGTCAGAATGTCGGCATGGAGACTATGCAATGCGCTATTGTATTTGGTATTTCAAATTCTCCAAGCTACACATGCAGGTACAGGCACGTGGTTATGCCAATTGCCATCGTTAGAAATTCGCTATAGCACATTAACCTCTAAATTTATCCTAATCCAACCGTTGTCAACCTCCTTTCAAGTGACCAAGGCAGTAGTTACCAATGCATAAAGCACGAAGCCTGAGTCTATTTTCAGTTGATTTTGCATAGACTAGGGTATACTGGTCTAGTAAGACATATGTAGATATCTGATGAACTACGCCTTCTCTTAAACTTCACCAGGTCTGTGCACAGCAGATTTTTTATCCACTTTCGCAGTGTCCACAATACTCTTAAAGATCTGCATTACGTTTATAGGCTGCATCAGTTTGTCGGTTACAGCGTAAGTGAAACGTTGTAGTATTACTTGTGACGACTTATGGGTCTGAAAACAGTCACCAGTCGTTGAGCATAGGGCATTATTTCGGTCCTTGACCAATGACTTCCACCTCGCATTGCTGGGCGCGTGGTGTACAGATTACTGATCGTCTGGTATTTTACCTTTTTTGTGGTATGTTCCAGCGTCTTGTGTCTTCCACGGAAATCCAACGCGGTAGGGAGGCATGTGAGTTCAGCCTCAACTCCACCGAAGCAAAACTAAGTTCGATACAACTAATCCACACTTAGTCCCGCCACCTGAAACACTGAGTGTGACTTTTTGACGGGCATTCTAACTGGTCTGGTATGTTATCATCATGGGATGCAGTCATTCCATCTTCTACTTCTGGAGACCTCCGACACACAACCAGGCGCTCCCAAAGCAAAGTGTGATGCTTGGACCCAACGATCACACTTCACCGCTGTTGGCAAATGGTGCTGTTTTTTTACATTATGTGGTGCGCTGAGTTATGCTGCTGACTGTCCACAGTCGTTCCCGTCCCAAGGAAAACATCAGTACAGTGTTACCCGCCCAAAAACACTGCGGGCAACACCCAATTTCTATCTGCTCCAGCTACGTTACTCGTGATCGAAAGAGCAAGATTCATTTCAATGGGGATCGCAGTCATAATTGAACTTGCGCGTCGCGATCCATCCATGCACCAAGCCTGTCTGAAATTCGGTCCCTGTAGGGCGCGCACCCAATAGACGGAATGATAATCCATATCAAAAAGCACGCGTAGGAATAGTATATTCGGCCAAGCGTCCACCCACAACCCGTACCATTTGGTTTAATCCAGTCAATCGATAAACGTTCTTCTAACCCTGGAACACTTCCAGGCTGCGGACTCAAGCATGCTTGACAATGAACAAGGAGAATCAGCGGCCTACGTAATACCATCTCTTAAATGAGCATCTCAAGGTGTTATGAGAAGCAGTTGTTCCCAAAGAAGTCGCGCAAGTCCTGATCCAAACATCGTACTTTGAGTTCACGACCCATACACACTCACGCTCATGCCTGACACCTCCACACTTCCTTTGCTCCGATACGCACAGCATGGCGTGAGAATTCTGTTGTCACGTACACACTTATGATTACTGGGACCTTTTCCTTGTATTCACCTCCGTAGTCTATGTCGCCAGTCTCAGCATTAAATTGAGGCTATGCGGTCATGTAATCGTCTTTCGGCTGGGTCGTACAAGTGCTCTGCCGAAAGCCAGTTCTCTCTCTTCTCGCGGTTGGTAAGCGATACACAGCGCGAGTACAGCTAATTGTGTTCCGTCTCGTTCGGCGTACGTGTTTACTTGAGGTCCATACCATTCGAGCCGACTAGAACAATCGCAGCAATCTGGACGTTACAGTAAAGTGGCGACGAAAGTCCTTTTCGAGCCATGACAGATGTATACACCAACAACAGCAACTCAAATTGATGTGCGCATTAACCGAACTGCTATCCATTATCAACTCCAGCCGACTTATTCACAATGCCTGATGGTGGCAGCTGCTTCGCTAAGACTGACTTTGCAAATGCCTACCTGCAACTCGAAGTTTCTCCGGAGTCGCAAACGCGTTCTCTTTCAGTACACCAGACTGCTATCTGGTATCAAGACCGCACCATCTCTGTTCCAGCAAACGATCTATACGATGATTTTTGGCATTTCTGGTACGGCCGCTTACCTGGACATTCTCCTCATTATTGGTCACACTTCAGATGAACTACCTGAGCGCATGCTCTCTGTTTTTGTACATATCCAGGAGTATGGCTTCCACCTAAGAACTGAAAAGTGTCAGTTTTTCCTTCGCTCGATTACGTCTCTCTGGTTCGTCTTTGATGCTAATAGCTGTCATTTTGATCATGAAGACGTCCAAGTCATTCAACAGATGCTTTCTCCCGAAGAAAGTCACCAGCTGCAATTTTCTCTTAACGTCGTCAGCTACTACAATGCCCCTCCTGCTTAGCATCCCCTCCAATCACGATGTCACTTGTTAGGCATAATATAACTCTTTCTACGGCACGATAGCCAGTGGTTAGCTTTTCGGAACGATGTCCATCCGTTACTGGAGACTCAGCGGGCGTGCCACTGTTTGCTTTTTTCTTTTCTTGTCTTCTGTATTGCGGCACAATAGCTGAGGCGTTTTCCACCTCCAGCTAACGTGTATAATGATGATGATGATGATGATGCCTTCTTACCACCGCTTTACTATGTACGAACCCCACTCCATCGGCTGCTGCAAAAGGATGTTCCTTGGCACTGACCCCTCATATGCGAGAAGGCATTCTTATATCTGAAATCCACATTGAGTTTTGACCTACTTCTGACATATTGCGACGCGACTTTACTACTTGTGGTTGCTGCTGACGTCCCCAACTACAGAATACAAGCTGTCCTCTCTCACTGATTCCCAGATGGTTCCACGAAAGCCGTCATTCACACATCACGCACGCTAACGTCTTCAGAGAAAAGATACGGTCAGATCTAGAAGAGGACCATGGCCATCGTCTTTGCTGTTAAGAAGTTCCGCAAGATGCTGTATTGTCGGCCTTTTACCTTACCGCTTACACGCCGTGGCTGTTAATCTTTGGTTCTAAGAAAGGCATCTCGGTATGTTCGGCCAGCCGACTCCAACGATGAGTCGTCATTCTTCTCCGTTACGATTTCAAAATCCGCTTCTGATTCATTCATGGTTTTGGCCAAGCTGACGGTCTCTGCTGCCTCATCACCAGGCTCGCTGCAGAAGGCAGTGATCACCGTTAGTTAAACGGCCGCATGTAACATCGTCTCGTTCGGTTAGACGAATGTATAGAACTGTTTGGTGTTTTCTGCGGCTATTTGCAAATGTGTACCTCCGAGCGCTACTGAGAGGGTGTGATAATGTTAACTTCTTTTTGCGTGTTTATCTTCCTCTCGATCGGGTAAACCTTCTGGCGGTGCACTGTCAAAGCCTACTTTTCATAGCTGGATTAACATTGACGAGACTCGGCCAACTGGGAGCATTGTTTCCTAGCGTTGTTGTAGCTGCGTGCAATTTCGTCTGCAACGCCCTGTCAAACGTAACCTGTATTACGATCACGAGCCCAGCATATGCTTGCCTGGCACATTTTTCGGAATTATTGCTCCTGTGATGTTCAATTTGTTGGCGCAATCGGATTTCACAGGACGATAAGGACCACTCACAAGAAATTTCAATCCCATAACATCCTATTTGACTTTTCATAACATAGCTTAAATTTTAGACTCTCCAATCAGTACAGAGCCCTAATTCTTGCTCTTTTTTTTGAAGGGCCAAGACATGATTATCCTTCACCTAGGCGACTTGCCCACGTGTATCCTATATGATCCACAACTTTCTGCTAGGCTTCCGGTGCAGATCTAAGACCCATTTGTAAACTTCCTACTGGAACAGTCCGCTCGATATCAGAAAAGCCGTCAGTGACGTACGATTCCATTATCAACTGCATGTAGTAAAAACCTTTTTGGGTTTGATTTAGAGAACGGTCGTGCACCGGTTATCCTGATCAAGGTACACATCAACTCTCGGGCGAACGAATTTTTCAACTATCACGTTTCCGGATCATTGCGTAAACTCATTGTCTCATCCTTTATGGCCATGCCTATGGAATCTGCCTACTCAGAACAATTAGTTGGCTCTACTAGATCTTTGGATACCATCTTTTGCATGGATTCTTCCACCATTTCAAATTTCACCAGTGGAGTCGGATGTGACCATGACATGGAAAACGGTTTAGCGTCCTGATTAATTTCTATGTGGTGGAATCCGGTCAATTGTTTCTGCGAACAATTTTTGCTCCGTAGACGTTTAAACGTTAATTCAATGAATGTCAGTGCGTGCTCAATTGTTAGATAGCCTTATTTTAACAGCAACCTTTGCATTTCATCCCAGTAAGACTGAAACGTCTTCAGACGCTGCATACATGGCAACG